TATATATATATATATATATATAATACACAACATTAACATTTCATTACCAAAAAGTGACATTTTTTTGCTTTTTTGTTTATTAATAATGGAATGTCCCATTATATTTTATTAAAACAAAGAAAATCAGACAAACAAAAGTTTAATGGCTAATTTGTGAATTATGGGTTTATATTTTTCTCTAGGGAAGAACTAATGCAATTACAAGCGTCTGTAAGACAGTTTAATCTTACAAATGCATTAGTGACACAGAAAACTTTTTTTTTTTTTTTATTAATTTACATAAACTTAATTCCGCATTCCCACTTTAGATGAAACAAATAAACAAAATCATCATGCCTCCGACAAAAAGTGGAAAGAATTAACAACCTAGCCATAATAAAATATCTTCAACCAGAAACAATATTGCATCTCAGAGCATTTTCTACCTGTTATTAAAATGTAACCTACAAAATAATACTTAATTTAATAATAATAAATGTATGCATTTAGCAGACGCTTTTATCCAAAGTGACTTACAGTGCATTCAGGCTATACAATTTTTTACCAGTATGAACAAAAATGTTACAATCTGACTTTAACTAGTTTGTTCATTAACTATGAGTGATAAGAATATATACCAGGCTAAGACAGTAAAAACAAGCAAATGTGAGCAAAAAGACCAATACAACCGTCAACAATACACTGTACTGCTGTTATTTTACATGCCATGATCAACACTGCCTCCAATGGAGTCTAGCTGAAACTGCACGTGACCAATTTATTTGCCACAAAAACATAAAATACGGTAGTGTACATTTAAAAAAAAAACGGGTCTCAGATGTCTAACAGCACCTCAGAGGCATTTTTGGTGAAAGATGAAGAAAATGATCACTCTGGTGACCCGTGATTATTCTGATATCGGACAGTGAGTCCCATTCATGTTAGAAGAGAGGTCTTATTGTGTATTCCACACGGGTAGCCAGTCAACCTTCAAGGCTGAAACAAACAAGCATTATTACTGACCCTCCTACAACCCAACATGGGAGGTTTTGATAAACTGGTCTGAACCGCTCATCGACAATTTAGGTCGCTCTACTTCCATCGTGAGCTGGTCCCTACAAGCAAGGTTAAACTTTGCAGTATTTGCCAGGTCAAATACCTTCGACTGACTTTATGCAACACCTAAGAAGATGTCTAGTGCATCTAGTTAAAAGCCTACCTCAGATGAGAGCATTAAACCTTAAGTATGGCTTGCTTATCACACAGGCTACAGCACTACATGGACGAAAACAGCCTAAAAGCACTAAACACTACTGACTCCAGCTTACAGATTTAGTATAACGATAAATAAATGGTTTAAAATCCACATTCAGTCCCTGTTGGACGCAAAATCTACTCACTTTTAAGTATCTAACGTGTCCCCTTCTGACTGCCATGAAGAGCCGTCACAGATCCCGACTCTGAAGATACCAAAAACAAAATAAGGTAATAAAAATACACGCTGACGAGAAAGGGTGGTAGGGAAGGCAAAGGTAGGTTTGGGGGTTCAGAGCAAAATAAATAAACTAAAATAAAAGAAGGCCAAAAAGATGAGCCAACTTCTGATATAGCCTGTGAAAAAAAAAAAAAGAATAACAACCATCGGCCATTAAGAGTGGTGTAGATTCAGCGTGTATTTTTAGCACCTCACTTTGAGTCTGTCCTGCCTTCACACAATCTCCATGTTGACATTACATACATGGTGTACTTGTTACACTACATATTTTATTTTTGAATGTGTTTGTTTTCATAAATGGTAAAAAAAACACCAACATTTAAAATACTACAATGTAAATACTACATGTGTAGTTATGAGTTTAAAAGCAAATTTTTCTGTACTGCACTATTCATAAAGGGACCATTCATCCATACATGATCCAAACTTTTTAAACAAATCAACATGTCATAAAATCTACCTAATTCTGTAAAACTATTTTCGCCTGCACAAATAATAATAATAATGATTCAAAAAATAAAACAAAATGCCCTATTAACTTTAAATTTAAACTATGAAACACTGCAAACCTGTACAAAATATTTGGTGCAACAACTTATTACAACTAATTGATAGCATAGAGGTCGAAGAACATCTGTTTAGAGGATAGTTCCGTATAATTTCCCACATTTGTTTTATTAAATTCACAGCAAAAATATTTGCATTTATACAAATGTCTGATTTGCCGGTTAATCTTATTACACTTGATGTCTTAAAATGTACTACTGCCATAAATACTACTGTTCAAGCTTTCGTAGGCTGTTGGAAAAACTGAATAAAAGACATTTGTAATCCTGCCTAGTCGTGGGGGCGTGAAATTTGCAACTACCCCGCAGCAGGACATCGCTCTTCCGGTCATGCTTGTCTGGATTACCTCGCCATTGTTACGGTTCCGTATCTTAGCTACAGAACAACAACCTTGCGGCATTACACAGCATGCTGGTAAAGAATCACAGATTCAAAAATAGGTCCCAGAATAAAATAGCACACAACACGAGGCCTCGTTCCCCACACACCGTCCCCATATTTTCGCGATGACTCACTCTGTAAATCCCATGCAACTCTCGAGTTCAAACTCGAGCAGGCTGCGCTAAGGGGCCTAACCCAAATAAAGCCAGGCCTCGAACACGGAGTGGATTTATAAACGTTGCTAAATCCTAATAAACAAGTTCAATTTAGCAAAATCAAACGTTTAAATATATATCTGGCGCCTTACCAGCTTCAACGTCTCTCCGATTCTGCAGTAGAACGAACGCACGCGGAGCTTTAGCAAAACGTGGCTTTTTGGCGCTTGCGCTCTCGTGACACAAAAAACACGCCACTAGAGAACTCTCACTCTGCCGAGGAAGCGGAAGTCTTAACCCCTCCCACTTTCATAATCCATTCAGATTCAGATCAACAATCACTAATAATAAAATCAGACATTTTATTCGATTGTATCAGCTTTATTGTGCAAAGTAAAACGCCCTTGCTGTGCGTGCATATACAATATTCACTGAAGAACAGGTATTGTGATGAGACGCACTAGTTTGTAGAAATGTAAGAAGTTAACTGAATAATATATCAAAGTAATTAACAGTGAAATATTTATATGTGTATATATATATATATATATATTATTATTATTTTTTTTTTTTTAAGTGCAATCATTCAGAAGAAAAGTCACAAGAATTCAATTCCATAAGTGCCTTTTTATTCTTGGTCAAGGATTCGATACTCTTGTGGGGGTTGATGCCTCATTAGCTGTGCCACTATAATCCAAGACATTACCTGAAGACAGAAAGGTCAAAGATGACGTTATAAATCTTGTAAAAGATCAGGGCATAAATGAATTATAATTTAAGTCGCAGAACTCACCAGTAAAAAGAGAACCACTAAAGATGTTATAATTATGACGTGCAGTGAAAGTAGCAATTTCTTCTCAAGTTTAACTTGACAACCCTAGAATAGAAAAAAAAAGTGGAATCTTGCTCAAAACACTGGGATACAAACCTAATTTAAATTAATTAACAAATAAATCTTAATTTAGTAGTGTTGAAACCTTTTTAAAGAAATATTCATACTGACAGACATCTGTAACCATTATGTGTTTGTATTAATATTATAATTACACAATTGTCAAGGCATTTGCTTGTTTGTTTTTACACACTGAGGTACAAGATTAAATTATTTTTCTGTCTTTATTTAATTTAAAATAGATAAAATTGCATTTAACCCATAACACTCCTTTTATGTCGCAATAAAATGGAAGCAGTCTATATCTTTTTATCCATATTGTGACATACATCCAAGTGTAACAGATTATTAAATTTTTACTACATTTTTCATCAGCTAAAAAATCATTATAAATGAATGAATCATTAACAGTAAGATACATAAAATGAATTTAGAAAATATACAGGGTGAATTTTCATTTCATGTTAACTGTAATCAATGGTATAGCCTTCTGTAAAATCAAGCAGGAAAATATTAATATTACATCTAATAAATATGGTAGCTCAAATGTAATTAGTATCTGTACCTCATTATATAGCAGCTGGGGTGAGTCTAAAGTTCCATTGCAGGAGTGAAAGTTTTTGTTGCAGCAGCTCAGAGGAACTTCGTATTTCCCACTATGATTAAACCAGGGTGTTTCCAACCAGTCTGTGTAGTTCTTAACCCCACAACACCGCAACTGTAACAAAAAAAGTGTAACAATCTGATTTTGCCAAACATATAGAAATCCTAGAGATTTCTGTGCAAATACCTCACACTGAAGGGCATTCACTGCTTTGGTATCAGGATCTTGGCTGTTACCACTGTAGTTCTGAAACACATCTTTAAGGGGAGCCAAGTCTGCATCAAGCTAAAAAAAAAAAAAAGATGTTTAATGTCAAACCATTTCAATGTAACACACTTTTCCCTGCAGATAGCCAAATACCATAACATTTCAGTTACCTTCCCTTTATGAGTATATGCCAATACAGCAGTAGTACCCACAATGCACCACACAATAATGAGAAAATACACAAACTGAAAGACAAGAAATATACAAATATGAACACCACAGTCTATTAAATTATTTCTTTTTAGCTAAAAAGAAAGAAAGAATTTTTCCATCTTACTAATCCGTGTCCACATGAAGGTTTTTTGTTAGACACTGAACAGCCAGTGCATCCACTGATTAAGAGAATGACTCCTCCAGCAACAGCCAGAATTGCAGGGAGAATTATATAAAGGCTGCTAAAAAACACACCGTAAACTCTGTATTTATGCAGAAAGAATGAACCACCCAGACCTGTAGTTCCAGCCAGCTGTAAAAAGTGGAGAATGAAGAAGTTAAAAACTAGGAACCAAAACAATCCATCGCTTGTCATGTGCCGTATGTGTCCGCAGTCATGTCATCGTTACTGAAAAACTAGTTGTCTTTACTTTATTAAAATTTCAGGGTCATTTATGAAAAACAACTTGTCCTGAGAACACAGTTCAACACGTCATTTAAAATCTACTTCATAGCTTACTCTTGCCTGAATGCATGTACTGTATGCTAGAGGGATTTAAGTGTGTTCACTTGTTTATCTAACAACATCAATTATAAAAAATATGCTGATATTGGAATTTAGTTTATAGAATTCTCACGCTAATATAACATATTAGACATTCTTATGTTGTAAACCAACATGCAAAGCCCCTTTTAGAGAAAAAAAACATGCAATTATATAAGTCTTTGTAACAAATGCATTCGGATTATGACAAACGAAAGAAGTGCATGGTGATAACAAGACTCACCAACAAAATCAGAGAAGCAACCTTTAGCAAAATTCTGAAACCTCTTAGAGCCAACATGGCTCTGCCTTAATCGATTCGGCTGAGCGGGAGATAATCTATTAACATATATTTGAATCGCGGTTCTCTCGGTCCAGTTCAACTTCAACAGTAGCAAACACTGATAAGAAAGCTTACTAAATGGGTTTAAATCGAAACCATACAAAACTGCGGAAGTGACCGAATTAACGAGTAAGCAAGCAGGGGGCACTGTACCAAACAAATAAACCATTAAAGCGATGTATAAATAAAGGGCAATGTAATTGACTTGTATGTATGTATGTATGTATGTATGCATGTATGATAGATAGATAGATAGATAGATAGATAGATAGATAGATAGATAGATAGATAGATAGATAGATAGATAGATAGATAGATAGATAGATAGATTTAGACTGGCAGATAGGTTTATATATATCTTTTTATATATATATAATTTTTTTAGGACACATTAATTAATAATAACATATTAAATAGAAGCTTAATAATAAGCTTCAAAACGCATAAAAAAGAAAACTGGTAACCAAATGATTATATAACAATTATTGTTGAAAGGGAACGCAATTGCTATATTCGCAGCATATTGTTATAAAATATCATATATATGTTGCAATCTGATAAATGCTCCAAAAAAATGTAAAAATCAAAGCTGTTTTTATTGGACGTCATTATTTTGCGACAAGTTGCATTTTGTCATTAGAAGCAAGATGGCGTCCGCATCAGAACATCAGGGTGCACCAGACAGCGAACTGGACGAATTATTAGACAGTAAGGTTTGAAGATGGCTTAAATATGAAATAATCCACAGTTATAATGTGCAGATGTTTTATCTCTTTAATAATGTTACAGTTTAGTGAACTAGCGTTTCGGAAGCGGTTGTCACGGTGCAGTTGCTGCTACGCTATTAGTCCGGTGTTGACGCTAGTCTCAGTGATTGAAGTTTTAGTAACGTAAAAATATTAGATGTGCATCAGTTTATTAACTTAAATATCGTCACTGTCTTTTCTATAGTCACATAAAAACTCACAAGTTATGTCCAACCAGGTTTTGTATTTAAACGGAGCTTATAATCGATGCTGCTGTGTTTGTACTGGACCACTAGCTAGTTTAGCTATTTATTCCTTGTGATTGGATGAAATCAGTCACATGATAATATACCATCAAAACAGATATAGATATACCCTTGGTACTACATTGTTAGTGTTTCCTCAACTGCAGGTGCTCTTGATGATTTTGACAAGACCAGTATGCCTCCTGCGGCCCCTACTGCCCCTGATCCAAGAACGACGAGTGATGAGAAGGTAATAAAAACATTTTCAATTTGAAATCAAGCCAATAAAATGATCAGAATAACACTATTATCTTTTCACAATTTTGTAGGTGTTCTTCCAATTCTGCAGTGAGTTGGTTCCACCATTGCTGCTGGTTAATGTATTTGTTTTCTGTTCTTTTCACTCTCAGCCTCCTCTGTTGGAGGACAGTAAGATCTTCGAGTCTCTCTTTGATGGTGAGATGGCCAATCAAGCACGTAAGGAGTGGGAGAAAGCCATGGCTGAGTTAGCGCAAGAAGAACCTGAGCTTCTACAGCATTTTCATAAGCTGTCTGAGGCAGCAGGTAAAGTAGGTGAGTAATCTGAAATGGAGCACTTTATAAATGTTGGCTGAAGATATGCAAGTTTAGTTATTAGCCCACTTTCCAATTGTTTTGACTCTACTTTTTTCAATTTAGGCACAGATGTAGCTTCACAACAAGAGTTCACCTCCTGTCTTAAGGAGACCCTTAGTGGTTTGGCGAAAAATGCAGACAACCTCCAGGTAAACCCATTCGGAATTTCTGCTATTGAAATATAATTCAAGGAAATGGTGGTTTTAAAGATAAGCTACCATTCAAAATGGGGTTGGTAAGATTTTGATGTTTTGATTTTAAATTTTGATCTTACATTTTATTAATTTAAAGCATCCTTGTCCATCTTTACTGTTACATTTTATAAATTTAATGCATCCTTGTTGAATAGAAGAATAAAAAATCCTACTGACCCCACACATTTAAAAGGTAATGTATGACAGAAGCTTCGTAATTTAACTCTAAATGCAGAATGCAGGACTGGCTGGAGATGATCTGGTAAAGACCTTGGAGAACCTGGGATTGAATGAAAATGGAGAGGGAGGAGATGATGGCAATATTCTCCCAATTATGCAGTCCATCATGCAGAACCTTTTATCCAAAGAAGTTCTATACCCTTCTCTTAAAGAGATAACAGAGAAGGTGAGTTGCATCTGCATAACTGTCTTAATGACTGTCCTACTGTTCTGGTCCCAGTGAAGCTAGTAAATGCCTGCTATTAATTCAACATTTGCTTTCAAAAAATCTTGCAACACATTCCATTTAATATTGGGAAAAAAATTTACTAATATAATGCAATTTGCATTTAGTACCCTGAATGGTTGGAGAGCAACAAGCAATCCCTTCCCACAGACCAGTTCATGCGGTATGAGCAACAGTACAAACTAATGGGAGAAATATGCAGCCAATTTGAGAAAGATGGAGACAAAGACAGCACGTTTGAAAACATTCTTGAACTCATGCAGAAGGTAGAATGCATGTATTTTTAAAAGTAGTGCACTTATTTTAAAAAAATAAATAATTTAGGGCATTTTTTTCCATTCTGCTTACTGATAATGTGCCGATTTTTATTTTTTGTAATGAATTAAAAATGCATGAATTTAAATATTGCGTCCTTTTTACTTAAAACACATAATAATATTACTTAATATAACCTTTCAGTAACAGCACTATAAATATTTTTGTTCATGGAAATATTGTCATACCCCTCAGCTGCAAGACTTGGGTCAACCTCCAAAAGAGCTTGCTGGAGAGGCAGTGAGTATTTACCTTTCTTTCTTTCTTTTTTGAATAAAAGCTATATTATATTTACATCATCAATCAATCTCTTGGTTTTTTTTAGCCTCCTGGCTTGAATTTTGACCCAGAATCTCTGCACCTTCCTGGAGCGCAAGGGGTCCCAGGACCAGAGCAGTGCTCAGTCATGTGATCTCAATGAGGTCAAATTAATGTACGTTTGAAAACGATACAATTTGGAGCTAATTATCTGTCTGAACCTGAGTTGGACACAGTTGATCATGCTCCCCTTTTAATGGAGTTTGCTTTTGAGTCTGCACTGAAACTGTGAACGTTCACTACATTAATTTTACTTCGTAGTTCTTGTCCACAGAGGTTCTTTTCATATTCATCCTTATTCCGTTCACTGTCCTCACTGTAGAGCAGCTCTTAGCGTTTTGAGTGAAGCTTGATATCTCAGTGTGCTGACAGCTTGGGAAAAATCAAAGTTTTCTGAATTTTGTAAAGGTTTTACACTTTTACTTCAAGCACATTTGACAGGTATTGCGGTGGATTGTGTTTTGAGTAAGTAGAGACAAATGGACAGGAAAGGTATTTACAGATTGATTGGTTTAATTTTATTTTTAAATCTCAGAAGATTGGTCAGGGTCAACAAATAGCTTCCATCAGATTGATTAAATTAATTTAATATACAGTGTAATGTCCATTTGTTCTCACACTATATCATGTATGCTATTTCTGTGATCTGACAACTAATCTGTGACCAAAACGCATCTCTCAGATTCAGCATTTTCAAAAAACACTTCAGATATAGTGCAGACACTTCAGATATAGGCTGATAATATATTGATAATATCATTCTTTGACCCATATAATAATAATTATCTCTCCCTTTGTCTTCTAATGGTTACTATATCGATCTGCATATAGAGCAGCTGAAGTGTTGCCATGTAAATTTAAATAATTCCCATTCCTATGGTGGTGCCTCTTTGTGATGTGTTATTTTCACAATAGTCCTAATTTGCCTTGAATATTGAAAGAATAAAAGAATATTGTTTCGTAGTTTAAAATTAATACTCTGTATTAACATTTAAAGAACATGTTAAATCCCAGGATATCTCAAAAGTAGGTTAAAGTTTGCAGTCATTGCTTTTGAGGGGATGTTTACGGGGTTCTTTTATGCAAACATGTTTGAGTGCATGGAAATGGGATACTTACACAGGATCAAATGTGGAGTTTTTTCAGTTTGTATCAGTTTGCTTTCTTGACACGTGGCATTAGCTATATCTTAGTATGGTAGTATGTAGGGCTGCCACTAACGACTATTTTTATTTAGATTAATCTATCGACTAATTAATCGATTAATCTAAACGATTAATTTCCCACACAAAAAATCTGCAATTTTAAAGAACATTTTATTAAACTTGCAACTTTGTCATTCAGTAGTGTACCATAAAAAAGTATAAATATAAACAAGCCATTGACGAAATGTAAAACTAAAAGAGTAAAAATTTAAACAAACCTAATAAAAATGAAATAAAAAGAGAATAATTACAAAAGTCTGAGAAAGTCAGCATGTTCTTAATGTCAATATATCCACATGTTCTGGGCTTCTGTTCATTACAGCTGTGAGTGCAACTACAAAGGGGGAAAAAATATGTTTCAATTAACCCCAACAGTTGGGTTTTCACATGAAATAAATGCAATGTTTAGAGTCCACTAGAATCAAGTATTAAATTTTTTTTATTAAAAGTTATTATTATTAAAAATTGTAAGTATTAAAAGTACTCTTAGAAATGTGTAAACAACAGCATGATGAAAAACTTCAGTAGTGAAACTCCAAATGAAATCCAAATTTCTATGAAATCCTTTTTTAAAGCAAAAGTAAAGTGCAACATAGAGTGCAAGAAGCAAGTGTCCATCTCATAGTCCAAATCACTGAAATCAAAGTTCAGTATTATAGTGTAAGAATGACAACGTGTTCTGGTCTACTAATAATAAAATATTATAATTAATAATACATTTTTGTGGTAATAAAAATAGATGTAGGTTAATTGAACAATAGCTTTTAATTTTACTTAAAATACATATATAATAGCAATGAGGCAATAATTAGTTCAAATAAAGTATCAAAAGCAAGAAATCATATGGTTTTATTGAACAAAACTCTTAAAATACTGTATTATAATGTAATAGAGCCACTGATCTATATATAATTATAAAATAATATAATCTATTATAGATCAGTGAATAGAGCCAATGTACAGTACACATTACAACAAAGGCATGCAGGGGGCGCCAACAGGCCTAACGATTGTTTTTACACATTACTGTGCGATCTAATACTTGTTTAATATTTACCAAGCATCATTTAAATCAAATTCTATCTTTAGGACAGAAATGCTATAGTCACTGTAATTTAATGAATATGTGGACATCAAAACGTGTAAACTCAGAGTGAAGGTTTGAGCTTTTATTTTGAAACCGCAAGATAATGATTCTCCTGAGTTTGCGTGGATTTATAAATGATTTACCTTACAAATCTGATGAAATGGCGCACGTTGCGTTCCCAGATGAACGTTATAATAAACCCAAACTCACAACAACTTGCACAGATGGAGTTTGAGCCGCTCCACACATGTAAATGATAACAGTTCCTGCGGAACAGCATTTACTGTGAACGGAGCCGCTGTGAGATGCACATACGTAACCTACACGGCTATAACTGCATCACATACAATTATTTAATTAAATCGTAGCGTTTGTGAATTCACAGTTATGCTTATTTATCATTTGTAAGCGGGTTTAATATATCATGAGGCCTTGGAAAACAGACTAATAATGTGTTTTATGGATTCTCGTCCGTGCAATGCGCAAAATGAAATGAAATGTTTTTTTGTTTTTTTTTGCGAATAGTCGAATAGAATCGATGAATCGCGGCAGCCCTAGTAGTATGTGGCCAATATAACGATTATGAGAAGGATAGGATGGTCTTGCAGATGAGCTGGGCAAAAATATGTAACTGTTACAACACTCAGGGGTTGCTCAAACACCCAAGCACTTAAATCAGCTCATCAAAATTCTTTGTCCTGTAAAATGTTCCCTTAAATGGGCAGTTCATTGATCTTGTCATACCACACTGCATGAAAGAACTGCAATTCTCAAAAATCTAAATTAATGTTATAAACTTACTATGTTTTATATTCTTCTCCAATTGTATTCCTGTTGCATATACAATTAAATTAACACCACACACAATTGTCTGATATTGTTTGATTGATATGATTTCTTTTTTAAATAAACCAATTTTTAACCATTTTACAATTTTTATGGCTTTAAAATTTTCTTTTAAAAGCACATAAAGTAAAGAGACGTATACTACTAGTGATGTATTTGTGGCCCTGTTATATATGATTTTTGTAGGTAAATTCTCACTTCTGTTTTGAATATTACTAATATGTTTTTATGCACCAAACAGTGTATCATAAAATAATTAGACATAGCATTTTTATGTATTTAAATTTAATTCAGTTAATCATTGTCTTAGTTTAATGATTAGGTAAACATTCAAATGTTGTATTTTTGTGATATGTGAACGAGAAGTTCCCAATGAAAAGTGTAAATGCTGCAACAGTTGTGGCTGGCAAAAGAAACAGAATTGTAAAAAGATGTACAATCAGAAAATCAATCACAAAACAAATAATAAATGTTATGTTATAATATGTATTGGCACTAATAATATAACAAATGACTCAAATAACAACAAGGAACAATGCCATAAACTAATATTTACTTCTATGCTCAGTATTCTTGATTATTATTTCCCGTTTATTTAAAATGGTCTTCTAAACGACTGACTGGGGGGGAAATGCGTTTTAATTATTATTTTTTTAATGCGTTTTCAACTTTAGCGGATGACGAAGGCTCTATGACGTGGACTTTGCGATGTTGGCATTTGAATCATCAAAACTTTATTTGTTGGCGCACGGAAACACTGCCCGGGTTGAGTGGAGTGGCTTGAGCGAGTAGACGTGTCAGAATTATTATTTTTTAATGCGTTTTCAACTTTAGCGGATGACGAAGGCTCTATGACGTGGACTTTGCGATGTTGACATTTGAATCATCAAACTTTATTTGTTGGCGCACGGAAACACTGCCCGGGTTGAGTGGAGTGGCTTGAGCGAGTAGACGTGTCAGCTGCGGAAGTGGAGCTGCAGACTCAAACACGCAAAATCCCTTTCTAACGGGGATGGTTTTAGGATTTACACTGACGTAAACGGAGCTATATCTTCATACATTACGCATTTCTGTTCGGTTATTATTGTCAGTGAAAATGTTGACCAAATTTGAAACAAAGTCGGCCCGAGTGAAAGGTAAGATGTCTGCTCTGGCTAGCTTCACTTGACTGCTGTATACTTATTATGGCCGCTTTTATGTAAACCAGTTGTCTGATTTTAATCTATTCTTAATGTCTGTAGAATATAATGTACTGTCTTTATAGTAAGGATTCAGTTCATATCTTTTTGAATATTGTATGTCGTTCGGCGTTAGCACAAAGCTATTATTTGTTAGCCGTCCAGACGTTGCAGTACATTTTTGTCTACTCCGTAGTTTCATATTTTGGTTTTATTGAGAACGTGCGAATGACATTAACCTGACCAGATTGTTATTATCAATAAAGTTTTAATAACTATAATCTGTTTAAATCAATGCCATCATTAGTATGTTCTTATAACACCATCGTATTGACTGTCTTCATATGAATGAATACCTGAATTGATTGTAATTTGTTTTTCCGTAGGGCTGAGTTTCCACCCGAAACGGCCCTGGATTCTGGCTAGTTTGCACAACGGCGTTATCCAGCTGTGGGACTATCGCATGTGCACCCTCATCGACAAGTTTGACGAGCATGATGGTATGAAACAGCTGATCAACGATTTCAGTCTCTTGTGGTTTTCTTCTGAGCCCTCATAATATTGTCAATTCATTTAGGTCCAGTCAGAGGTATTGACTTTCATAAGCAGCAGCCACTGTTTGTGTCAGGAGGAGATGACTACAAGATCAAGGTTTGCTTGCTTCATTTTCAATAACTGATGTTTAATAAATTTGTCACCTGGTTACTGCTTCTATATTGTTTCATGTGATTTTTTGGTAACACTTTACAATAAGTTAACGAGATCTAGCAAAATGCTTCTAAATCGTTTATTAATCTTAATGATAATTTTAATTATTACTAATACATTATTCAAATTGAATTTTTTTTTTAATCTATAAACATTACTTAATGAACCTGAGCTAACATAAACTTACAATGAACAGTTGTATTTTTATTAACAAACGTTAACAAAGGTTAATGAATACAGTAACAAATGTATTCGATCAATTTATGCTAATACGTCAACTAATGGGACTTTATTGTAAAGTGTTTTCTTTTTAAGCATTTTGATTTGCTGATATTTATTGGATTTGATTTTTAGGTGTGGAACTACAAGCTGCGCCGGTGTCTCTTTACTCTTCTTGGACATCTTGACTACATTCGTACCACATTCTTTCATCACGTGAGCCCTGTCAACTTTGTGATGGCATCATAATTCTTTTGATAATGTTTATTTAATCAGTG